AGCTACGAGAATACCTTTTGAGCGCAAAGAAAACAAAAATAACAATTTATTTAACAATTCTTCTTCCCCGAGTTACATCTTCCGCCATTTTAGAGACTTACCCAAGAGCGTAATCGACATAATCAGCGTTGTTTACATTAGGAGGAGAAAGCGTGCACATGAACGTAATCTGCGTTGTTTATGCTTAGGGGAATGCGTGCGTATGTGTTGTTGGATTAAATATGTTTTTTTTTTTTTTTTCTTTGCGCTCAAAAAATATTCTTGTTGCTTCACAGGGGAATGCGTGCGTATGTGTTGTTGGATTAAATATGTTTTTTTTTTTTTTTTCTTTGCGCTCAAAAAATATTCTTGTAGCTTCACAAAACTGAAGTTGAGCCACTGATGTCACATGGGCTGTTTTACCGATGTCCTTACAACGTTTCTGAACCTGGGAACATTACAGTTGCGTTGCTGTCTATGCAGGGTCTGAGAGCTCTCACATTTCATCAAAAATATCTTAATTCGTGTGCCGAAGATGAACGAAGGTCTTAGGGGTTTGGAACGACATGAGGGTGAGTAATTAATGACAGAATTTTCATTTTTGGGTGAACTATCCCTTTAACTGTATTTTTGATCAAATAGCATAAATGCAGCCTTGGTGAGCAAAAGAGGCTTCTTTCAAACACATTCGAAGAAAAAAAAAAAAAAAAACATTACCGACTCTTGTTTTACCTGATTATCAGTGCCAACATCTAGCAGCACAGGCAGGCACTGCTGAGGTGGCACTCCTCCACATGCTGTATACAAAGCTAGTTTGCCCACTGGGATCCCCATTCCATAGCTGCCTAGGTCTCCTAATCCCAGGATTCGTTCTCCATCCGTCACCACTATGGCCTATTAATGCACATATAATGAAACATCCATCTACAGCCACCGAATGACACTTTAGCACTCTGAACATACCTTAATGTTTTCCTCCGGCCATGAGTTCAGCATGCTGGCAATATGCCCCTTGTCATGGATAGTGATAAACAGCCCTCTTTAAGAAAAAAAAACTGTCAAATTCACATGGGCCTTATACTGTATGTTCGCCATGCAAGAACTGGTTGGACTGGTCTGAGTGTTTATAAAGCATTTGATTCAGAATTGGTCCAACTAAACAAGTCGTTCCAGGTCTGTAGTATGTATATACCTCACCTTGGTCTTCTGAAAGCAAGGCCATACTGTTGGCAGGCCAGGCCCACAGTAGGAGTGTAGACAATAGGCATAAATTCCTCTACGTCAGAGGTTAACACACGATAGAAAAGCTTCTCATTTCTGTCTTGCAGGGTCATCAGCAATATGTATCTGCAGAGTTAAAAGGGTTATTTTGAGTATAAATGGGAAATGGACCAAGAAAAGTATCGTCACTGCTTAGAATTGGCATGGCTCATGCAGAGTATGTACTGAATGTTTCAGTTGAAGATTGGTTACTTGTCAAGAGGGTTACTGCGTGTCTCATAGCTCTTCATGACACGAAGCACTTGGACATCCTGAGAGAGGAAACAGGGAGGCAGCAGGCCGTGGATACCCAGCTGTAACCTCTCCTCCAGGGTGAACGCCATGCCCTGTTAACACAGCACCATAACTTCATTAACAACATGTGACAGTTGTGAATTTAAAAGAAAAATGTGCACTCCTCCTACAGTCTGGTTTAAATACAAATTACCACCCTGAAACTGGGTCTGCACCGGGCAGGATTCCAGCTTAGGGTAGATACATCACGTTGGATCTATTTATTTCTGACCAATGAGACGCAAGCATGGCCACCCTCCCGTTGGATTCTCCACTCACTGTTTACTCACTGCAACAGTTTCCATCCATAATGGCTTTAAAGTTCTACACTTCTCAGTCATGCCCATTCCTCATCTTAGCCTGAAAGTCTTTGCAAACAGGATACAGATTGCAAAGTAACATTTAAATGGACACATTTTCATGACCCAGCCAAAAGTGATTTGCAAAACTGCTGAGACATATCCTGCAACTCTGCATTGATTTTAAGAAGCCTAAGCATATTCAGAGCATCTCCTCTCAATGCTTGGTAGGGGTCAAAGTCTTTGAAGACTTTGCTTTTAGATTAAAGATATACTACTCAAAATGGTACTTTCATACTTTCTTATCTGTGGGGATTTTGGCATTACATAATGTTATAAAATCGCATCAAAGCACCGGCTACTAACAATCTAAAACCTGCTTATTCACCTAGATCATAAGTGCACTGAGTTTGGCCCCTAAAGATGCTTACTTTGTTCAAGTGGGGGTTCCTGGTGATATCATAGCCTCGTTTTTTGGTGAACACCGTGCCCTTGGAGTTCACGCCAGAGTGACAGACCCTCACTGCCCCTATGATAGCAGGAGGGAGAGCCAGGGGACTGGAAAAAACCCTGCACAGCGCCAGCACACTATTACCCGAGAGAGAGTTCATGATTCCTGCAAAATGAGAAAAATCAGGTTCAGAGAAGCTTCTTTTGGAAATTCACTATTTTGGAAACCATGGTTTTGCCAAAATACCAGTTTATGCTGGTTTGGTGACATGGTTTCTAGTTGGTAGACCGCATTAGACTAGCAAGAAACCAGATGGTCAAGCTGTTTTGTTTTTTTGTCCAGCTAATGACCAGCTAGTGTACCAACTTAAGCAGGGGTTTCCAAAAAGATGATTTTACAGTAATAAGTCATTGCAGTAAAACTGGCGCATAAACTGTGGTTACCATGGTATTTTTTTAATAATAAACATGACTAATAAAAATGACTAATACAGCTTTTTCAAGTTCAGCTAGTTCGCCCTCTCACGTGTAAACAAGGCCTTTAGGTAGAACGCAAATGCATCATGTACTGTATTGTGATCTGTATTCACTACGCTTCTTTATTTTAACAACAGTATGTGTTTCAGGCTAAATGCACATTATGGAGAGGTTCAGCATTGTCATTGTTCTTTAATAAGATATAATAACGTTATTTGTTTAAAGCAAAGCGCATACCTGAGAACAGCCAGTCCACCGGCAGCTTCTGCTTCACTAGGTTTAATCCAAACGTTGACCTGCAGCTGCCTGTCTCCTCAGCCTCGCGTTATCTGTAGATGATGTTGTAATCGATTGACAGAAACGTTCTATGTTTGTATGACATTGACACTTTTGCTTCCCAAAGCTCGCCCTAGGCCCGCCCCTTTTGGGCAGAAGTGGCCAATAAAATGAGGCGACGCGAATGACGGCGTTTCCATATAAACGGAAAATTTGTAGACCTGTCTGACCGCTTCCCCATATTTTTGTTTGTTCAAGCGTTTAAAATACGCATAGTAAAACCGGGTACTCCCTTACGAAAATTAACCATGGTTTTACAAAAAAAAATTAAAAATACCTTGGTTACTATAGTTAAACAATGGTAACCACAAATTAACCATGGTTTTACTACACTAACCGTAGTTTAAACATAGTATTTATAGTGAAACTGTGGTTACAAATGGTAATCAATATGCCAAAAAAAAACATGGTTACAACAATTTTACTATAATAAAATCATGGTTAATTTTTGTAAGGGCTTAAACATGTACTTCGCACAAATTCACTAACGTTGCCCTCAAATATGTTTTAATGAACATAAGTAAGCTGGTTTGATCAATCAATCTCATTTAATTGAATTGACAGAAAAAAACACACGTTTCTGCATTAAAACATGAAACATGCTGGAAAATATAAGACTATAGTCTAAACGATTGTAAAAAAAAAAGTTACTTTATTAAAGCCAGTGTTTACGTCTTTAAAGCAAAGCGCATACCTGAGAACAGCCAGTCCACCGGCAGCTTCTGCTTCACTAGGTTTAATCCAAACGTTGACCTGCAGCTGCCTGTCTCCTCAGCCTCGCGTTATCTGTAGATGATGTTGTAATCGATTGACAGAAACGTTCTATGTTTGTATGACATTGACACTTTTGCTTCCCAAAGCTCGCCCTAGGCCCGCCCCTTTTGGGCAGAAGTGGCCAATAAAATGAGGCGACGCGAATGACGGCGTTTCCATATAAACGGAAAATTTGTAGACCTGTCTGACCGCTTCCCCATATTTTTGTTTGTTCAAGCGTTTAAAATACGCATAGTAAAACCGGGTACTCCCTTACGAAAATTAACCATGGTTTTACAAAAAAAAATTAAAAATACCTTGGTTACTATAGTTAAACAATGGTAACCACAAATTAACCATGGTTTTACTACACTAACCGTAGTTTAAACATAGTATTTATAGTGAAACTGTGGTTACAAATGGTAATCAATATGCCAAAAAAAAAAACATGGTTACAACAATTTTACTATAATAAAATCATGGTTAATTTTTGTAAGGGCTTAAACATGTACGTCGCACAAATTCACTAACGTTGCCCTCAAATATGTTTTAATGAACATAAGTAAGCTGGTTTGATCAATCAATCTCATTTAATTGAATTGACAGAAAAAAACACACGTTTCTGCATTAAAACATGAAACATGCTGGAAAATATAAGACTATAGTCTAAACGATTGTAAAAAAAAAAGTTACTTTATTAAAGCCAGTGTTTACGTCTCCGCACATGAGAAATTCAAAGATCTTTTTTCTTGGAAACTGTACTGTTCATGTAGCTTTTGATTATGAGTTAAAGAATGTACTGCTCTTCTTTTACAATGCAACTAATAACAAATACATATACATACTCAAATATGACACTAAATCATCCCAAGGATTGTATTTAGATAACACCATTAGAAGACAAAGAAAACAGCTAAACCAACATTAAAAATACTACAGACAAAGACTAACTAAAAGTAAACAGAGAACCTAGATGAACCAAAGAGGCTATTTTAGGTACAACCTTCAGTTGAAGTGTCATCAATGTGAGCTTCATCTATAAACTGTACTGATCAAATACCAAAAACCTTGCAGTGGTTAATAATTAAACAATGTACAGTGAAAAGTTAAACATATAAAACAAAGAAATGTTTTCAAGTGATCAAATAACTTCTAAAAGCTGTTTAAAAGTGTAATTACTTGGTTCTCCAGAAAATCTAACATCTGTTTTTTACCACGTACACTTCCATTTATGCTACCATTGGAATGATATCCGTGGGGAGGTACCATTGGCGGGACAGGTTGAGGAGGAGGAAAGGCCATCGGGGCCATGGGAAGGTTGTGTTTGAATGAAGGTTCAGAAAAAGACCCTGTGGAGGACAAATTATTAGTGTCAAGTTATTAATGATTAGAAGCAGCACTACATACATTAACAGATTAATAAAGGAAGTTATACTGACCTGAATATAGTAAAGGGTTTCTTTGAGAAGATGCATTTGAGGCAATGGGGGCATAGATGGGCTGGCCATGGAGCCATGGTACCATTGCTTTTTGAGCTTCACGCATCATCTTGTGGTGCATCACCGCTAAATAGACAAATGAACATGGAAGAAATATTTCACTGTTTTGTTATTCACTACAATTCCATTTTATAGGGTGGACTGTGAAAAAAAAAAGTCACTTGGTATTAGAAGACAATAAATGATAATAAATGTTATGTTTTTATTATTTGAAATAATATTTAATAATAATATTAATAATAATAATAGAATATTTATAAAGGACATAATGTTGTATTGTCGTAGTCCACAATACATTTTCATTGTTAAAATGCTAGAAAAAAATACAAGGTTCCACAAATTATTAAAATTAATAATAAATTATAAGTAATAAATAATAATAATAAATTATTATGAATATTATTGTCGTTATTCATATTGTTTAAAAGTATACTTATATTATTCATAATAAAATATATATTATATTGCCTATTTTGTCAGTCTACTGATTATTTCATTTAGTCAAAATGCAAAAAAAAAAAATATATATATATAATATATTACATATAACAACATATATTATTATTATTATTATTGACAAACTAATCCATTATGTGGAGTGTGATTTTGTCATCAGTAGACATTTATTTTAAGGAACTAATATCCAGCAGAAGTACAACACTGTGAATATTGTTTAAAAAATACTGTACAAATACATATTGTCTGGTTTGACAGATGCACAGGCAAAGATACTAAAGGGATATAAGAGTGAATGCACGTGGATACCTTCTTCTGGGCAGCAGCAAGTGCGAGGACAGCAGGGACAACGGACATAGCAGCAGCAGTTCTGAGGACAGCACTGGCAGCAGCAGATACAAAACAGTATGATGAGGAGCAATCCACCGAGGACGATGAGCAGCACTGTCAGCCAGTCTGAGAGGAAGAGGTGGTATGATCAGCATCAGCATCAATAAATGTTTTTGTGGTTGAATACAAGTCTTCAGTGCGTTAATACTTACGATATACAATGAGTCTGATTTCTTTGTCGGAGTCTCCCACGACATCACCAGCTGCGTCGATGGAGCAGAAATACATGCCGTTGTCCCACCACATGACCTCATTGATAACCAGGTCAGCACCTGTGAAAAACATATACAATTTTTTTTTTGATTATTAT